GTCCATCTCCAGAGAGGACATCGAGAAGGAGAGCTATAAATTGATCACCAGTGGACCAATGTAGTGAAGTGTACATTTTTTTAAAAAGACATCTTAGTGTCATGGTGCACACCTGTCAACCCAGCTACTCAGGAGGCTGAGATAGGAGGATCACAAGTTCAAGGTCAGCCTGGGCACTTAGTGAGACTTCATCTCAAAAAGCAAAACAAAACACAAAACTTAAACTGGGCAATGGTGGCTTATGCCTGTAACTTAGTGACTCAGGAGGCTGACATCAGAGGATTGAGGTTCAAAACCAGCCCAAGTAAAAAAGTCCATGAGATCCAATCTCCAATTAACCAGCAAAAAGCTGGAAGTAGAGCTGTGGCTCAAATGGTAGAGTGTCAGCCTTGAGCAAGAAAAAACAAGAATAAGGGGCAGTGCCTTCAACCCGAGTTCAACCCCCAGTACTGCACACACATACATACCTGCACATACAAGTGTACATGCATGCACACACACACATACACACACACACACACACACACACACACACACACACAACCTTAGGATGGAGCTTGGAGAGCCCCTAGGCAGCTTTCAGTGTGATCTTGTGGGTGGGGCAGCAAAGAGCAGACACGCCCTCCCCTCCTGCCTTGCTCTCTGAGTCTCTTTTCTGCATCTCTCTTTCTCCATCTGTGTCCTTTGCAATACCCTTCACTGTAAACTGTTAAGTGCATGGAAATTCTGTGAGCTGCCTGAGCAAATTAATTAAACCAGAGGGTAGGAGGTATCTCAGGAACTGTGATTGATCATCTGTTAGGCAGAAGCCTAGGTAGAACCAACCTGGGCTTGAGACTGGCATCTGAAGTCTTGTGGTACTGAGCTTTTTGCTAGCTAGAGAGAAGGCTCATGGACTTTCCTTGAAGTGTGATCCTCAGATCTCAGCCTCTCCAGTAGCTAGGATTACAGGCATGAGCCAACACCCCTGAAATACTATATTTTATGTAATATGCTTACAGGAAAGTCTGGCCCTAGTAATGGCTCTATAAATGGCAACATTTCATCTTCTTTCTGTTTTTGTTTGGTGCCTGAGGGTGAACCCACAGCCTCACACATGCCAAGCAAGTCTCTGTGCACCACAGCCCAGCCCCAGCCCCACAACGATTTTGTATTGGATGTTATTACTACTGAACCCAGCCTGGGACTGCACTGGGACATGGATCTAGGGATGGGGATGGCCATACAAAGAGTTAGAAGCCTCCAGGAAGGACACCACCTACACTTTGCTACTTCCCAAATCAGAATGAGTCTGATCCTAGGCCTAGCGGCCTCCAAACCAACCACTTGCTGGTCTTGTTGTAGTTGGTCATTTTAGGTCTTCCTGTGCCATCTGGTGGTCAGTTTCTGTATTGCATCTCTAAGCCACTGACTCAAAGTGGGCTTCTGGGCCTGGGGACAGTTTGGTTGAGGCGCATACCTAGTGACTCTGTGCACATAAAAGTCCTATGCAGTGGTGACTGGGAGGTGGCAAGGTGTGTGTCACAGAGCTTGGCCGAGCTGTCTTCTTCCTCCACTTCCTCTTCCTCTCCTTTCTCCTCATCAGACAAGTCTTCCTGGAAAGAAAACTGAAGAAAAAAACAACAAAAACCAGGCCAAGGTCCCTGAGCAGACAGGACCCCAGCCCCAAACCCCAGGAGAGAACTGTCAAGATGGGGACTGTGGGCCCACCCAGGGGAGGGAGGGCACCCCACACCCCCAACAGACCTTGGTCATGGCTGATTTCTGGAACCGCTTGTATAAATTGAGGAGATGGCGCCAAGGAGTGACCCCCATCTGGGAAGAGGTCCATCTGAGGTCACCTGTGAAGGGGTGGTGGTGGTCACTAATGGGCTGGCAGCTGGGGTGGGGACTCCTGGTATCAGAACGCAGGGATGGGGGGGCTGAGAAGGGCTACGCTGTGTTAGGGATTGAACTCAGGGCCTCCTACTTGCTGGGCAAGTGCTATACCCTTTGAGGCACCCTCTCCCCAATCCTTTAGTTTGTCGTTTTTTTCCAATAGGGTCTTATGCTTTTTCCAGGGCTGGCCTCTGACCATGATCCTCCTGCCTCTGCCTCCCTAATAGCTGGAATTACAGGTGTGTGCCACTATACCCTGTGCTCTCTACGGAAAGCCTGCTGTGCATGGGCCCAGTCCTAGGCACTTGACTGCCAGCATCCTAGCCTATCCTTGCAAATACCTTCAGAGAAAGGAGCTAGTTCTTCTTGTTTTAACTTAAGAGTTTGAGCAATGCTAGTTGCTTGGTGTAGACGCCACTATTCCCTGAGACTGGGTCCTGTGTCCTGCTGGATCCCACACCCTAAAGGAAGAAAGTCCTTTGCTGGCTCCCTCCTTACCTGCAGCCGCCATATTCACCTTTAAGTAGGCTCTCCTCCTCTTCCTCCTCTTCATTTGCCTTTTCCTCCTGTACTTCCTCCTCTCCAGTGAAGGCCACAGTGCTGGCCGCCAGCAACTCCATGGCTCTCTGTGGGTCTTCTTGCTCCATCTTCAGAGCGTGGGCAAAGTGGGCCCTAATCCCAAAGCACAGTCATAGGGGAGGTAGGTAGAGACCCCATCACCACTACACGGAACCAGACCTGCTAGACCCCTCCTTCTTCCCTCCCTCATGCCTCTGATACGCCTCCTGGGGTCTGGGGTCTTGGTCATAGAGGGGGGACGCCCCCCATGGAAGTCAAGGACAGGAAGGTGAGGAGCAGGCAGAGACCCCCTCCTCACAGGGGGCCTGCCACGCCCCGTGGGAGTGGGGATCCAGGAGGGCAAGGGCAGGCAAGAGGTACTGGAGGGCTGAGGCTGAGCCCACTGTGGCATGTTCCTGTCCAGACCTCAGTCCTCTTCCATCATCATCATCATCACTTTGTGGTGCTGGGGATGCAACCCAGGGCCTGGAGTATGCTAGGCAAGGGCTCTATGGCTGAACTACAACTCCAATCCCTCCCTCTTTTTGTGATAATGGGGTTTCTACTCAGAGACTCGGGATTGCTAGGAGCTTTACTACTTGAGCCACACCACCAGCCCTGCTTTTTGCTGCTTATTTTGGAGCTGGGTCTAGTGAACTTTCCTGCCTGGATTGGTCTAGGCCTCCATCCACCTCCATCCACCTCCACACTCCAAACCTCATACCTGACCTCTATCCACTGCCTCTGTGTGTGTGTCTGTGTGTGCGCGCACGCGCGCACTCTGGTAAGGGCACTTGGACTCAGGCCTCACACTCTCCCTTGGCTTTTTCCCTCAAGCTGGCACTCTACCATTTGAGCCATGCCTCCACTTCCTCCATCTCCTGCCTATTCCAGCCGCTCACCTGTCTACAGACTCTCAAGCACAGACCCTCCCCAACTTGGCTGTGCCATCTGGAGCCCAGATTCTCCCCCCATCTTACACCCAGGACTCTTCCCAGTTCCTTCACCCCAGGTCTCCTTTCCTAACTGGACTCCCACCAGCCCCAGCCACACTCACCTAGGAGACCCCTAAATCCCCAGAGCCTCTGCCTGTCCATTCCTCCTCCTCCTCCTCCTCCTCCTCCTCCTCCTCCTCCTCCTCCTCCTCCTCCTGTAGCCAGGTAGCCAGGTATACCTCCCAGCTTCCTCTGGGTGAGACTGAAGTCACCTCTCTCCCCTGGGCTATGAGCTTCAGGACCTCCTTGGGGTTAGGGATCTGGGCGCTCATGTCCCCCATGCCTAACCCCAAGGCCTCGTTCAGCAGCAGGCTTGAAGAGCCAGGTGTGATCACAGAGAGAGGGCAGGGCAGGGTGGCCGGGCATCCTGGCACCATCTTCCCTGTGCCTCCCTGGAGGCACATCCCAAGGGAGCCAGCATCCTGCTCTATCTAGCAAGGGGCCAGGGCAGACCCCAGACCAGGCCTTTGGACTGCCCATCCAGCCACAAAAGCAGAACAGAGAAGAGCACCCCAAAGTCAGTGATCGTGACCGAGGGGTTGGGACCGAAGCCCCCATCCTGAGGAAGCCAAGCAACCTACCTAGCACCAACTGCTTAAGAACAGGAGTCATTTTCAAATGAAAACCTCCAGTTGGAAACTTGGAATTCTAGAAGGCAAAGATGAGGTGGGGGTGGGGGATGGAATGGGGGGGAGGGCAGGGAGGAGGTGTAGGGAGCCAGGCTGGGTTGGGCTTCAGGCTGAGGCAGCTCAGACGATGCTTGGTCCAGTGCTCAGGCTTGAACTTGCACTCTCCCCCCTAGATTTTGTTGTTGTTGTCATTCAAGGCTGTCACTCTGCCTCTTGACTCATACTTCTGCTTCCTTGCAGGATGAGGGCACGGGGTGGGGGGGGGAGGAGGGGGGCAGAACAGACCCTCGGAATGGGGCAGGGCCGTTATAGACTCTATTCATCCCTATGTCTTTCTAGAATTTATTCTGTGCGTGGGAACATTTCCAGCAATCAAATAACAGGGTCCACCCTCTTCCTCTCTGCGCATCAGGCTTGCAGAGTCTAGGTGGTAGCACAGACCCCAGGTAAGCAGAGTCTGAGCTCTGCTTCTTGCCTACCACCTTCAGGACAAGGGACCTCCAGAAAACAGGCAGGTGCCTGAATCACAGGAAGAGTCCCTATGTGGTATTTTTATTCCCAGGTCCAATTATCCACCCAACTCAGTGACTTTAGGGACCTCTGTTTATTAGTCTGTAACATGGGCTTAGCCGACAGCACCTATCTCCAATTGCTATTGGGAAGATTCCAGGAGTTAAGTGCATGGCCCATAGTTGTGCATAGGCTTAGAACCACACAATGATGTGTTTGTTTTTCACTTGTACTGACTGATGGAAAAGAGCAAGATCAGAGGGTGAGAACTGAGAACCATGGGAAAGGCAGAGAACAGAACCCTGTGTGGGACCTGGGGGGGAGGGGGGAGGCGGGGCGGTGGGCAGCAGCTGCAGCTGGGCTGGGCTGGCTGCAGATCTTCCCTCCAGGCTGCAGCCTGTGCATCTGCATCCGCATCCGGTGGCCACTAGGCAACTTCCTCTAGGGGGAGCTGGTCATCGCTGGGCACTGCCGGCACCTCTATGATCGCTGGAGTCGCGCGGGTCCCTGGGCCCGGCAGGGCACACGCAGAGAGGCTTCATCTAGACACCAGGAATTCCCTGACGCCAGTTCCTGGAAGACGGGCCTGGAGCCCTGCGCCTGGGGAGCAGCCGGCAGCCCCTCGGAATCAACCTCGGCCCTTCTGAGCCAGCCCAGGTCTGCGTCCAGTGTCTGGGCAGGTAAGCTGGCAGGATCTGCCCCACCCTCTGACTCCTGGCAGCCTCAGGGTGGGGCAGGGAGCCCACCGGGGCTCCCATGGGGAGCAGAGTCCTAAAGGCTGGCCTGGGCCGGTCCCTCAAGCCTGCTGGAGGGGGGGGGGGGCAGCTGATCGGGACTGAGTTACTGTGGGATGCCCTTCTTTCCGCCACCTTTCTCCCTTGTGGCAGTTCGGGTTGGTCCTAGATGACAGAAGTCTGGTGGGGGAGGGGGGGGATGGGAGTAGAGGTCAGAGCCAAGGTCAAGAGCAGGGATAGAACTTTCAAGTGCTTTCTGCTCTCCTAGGACCCCCAGACCCGTTCTAGGGCCTGGCCAGGCGTATCTCTTGGGGAGACATGCATCCGGGCCCAGCAAGCTGTGGAGGTGGGGGTGGAATGGGAAGTTAGGCCCCTTGGCTTGGGGGACAGGAGTAGGCCTAGGTCAGCACAGGCCTCTAGCTTTGGGGACTGTTCTGAGGCTCTACCTGCTCCCCAGTAGTGAGCCGCTGGGGTGGTGTTAGAGGGAGGTGGGAGGCAGTCAGCATCTCCTGAGCCTGAGGGTGCCTGAGTTTAGAGACAAGGAAGGCGGGGGAGGGGGGGTGTTCTTCCTGAGGAAGGAGCTGACTGGGTGAGAGGCAAAGGGACTTTTGTTTTTCAATCTGATTCTGGGGCTTGAACTCAAGAGCCTGCGTGCTCTCCCTGAGCTTTTGTGCTCAAGGCTAGTGCTGTACCACTTGAGCTACAGTTTCACTTCCGGCCTCTTTGTGGTTAATTAGAGTGAGTCTCACGGACTTTCCTGTCTAGGCGGGCTTCAAACTATGACCCTCTGATCTGAGTCTTCGGATGTGAGCTACCAGTTCGGGCAGGTGAGCAGATAGCTGGGGAGGGGCTGTGCTGGCCCCAGAGTGGAAGCGAGGCCATCCTTGAGAGTTGGAAGAGGGAAACTTCCTGCCAGGGTGACAGAGGCAGCTTGGGAAGAAATGGGGCTCTAAAAGGGGTGCAAACTGAAAGTGAAAGAGCTTGCATCAGGAAATACGCCCTTGGGCAAGATTAACAGGCCAAGACTGAGGAAGATGGCTTGCGCTGGGCTTGGTAGTACACACCTGTCATCCCAGCCCTCAGGCTGAGGTAGGAGAATCTGAAGTTCAAGGCAAGTCTGGACTACAGAGTTAAGACCTATCTAAAATAAAATTAAGCCTAGTGCTGGTGGCTAATTCTTGTAATCCTAGCTACTCAGGAAGCTAAGATCTGAGGATTGCAGTTCAAAGCCAATCCTGGCAGGGAAGTCTGTGAGACTCTTATCTCCAATTAAAATGAAACAGTGGCTCAAGTGATAGAGTACCAGCCTTGTGCTTAAAAGCTAGAAAGTGCCCAGGCACAGAGTTCAAGCCCCAGTTCCAGCACACACACACACACACACACACACACACACACACACACACACACACACACACACACGCACGCACACGCACACACACACGCGCACACACATGTGCACACACACACACACACAATAAAAATGAACAAATAAGTCGGGCACTAGTGACCCATGCCTATAATCCTAGCTACTCTGGAAGCTGAGATCTGAGGATCGACGTTCAAAGCCAGCTCAGGCAGGAAGGTCCATGAGTCTCTTAACTCCAATAACCATCAGAAAAATGGAAGTATTGCTGTGGCTCAAAGTGGTAGAGCCTTGAGCTGAAGTGCTGAGGGATAGCACCCAGACTGAGTTCAAGCCCCACAACTGACAAAAAATAAAAATAAACTAATAAAAGTTAAAAGGACCAACAAAAAAAGGAAGGTGGCTCCGTGGTAGAGTGCTTCGCATGCATGAGGCCCTGGGTTCGATTCCTCAGCACCACATAAACAGAAAAAGCCAGAAGCGGCACTGTGGCTCAAGTGGTAGGGTGCTGGCCTTGAGCTGAAGAGCTGAGGGATGCCCAGGCCCAGAGTTCAAGCCCCACGACTGACAAAAAAAAAAAAATCCTAACTACTCAGGAGGCTGAGATCTGAGGATCAAGGTTCAAAGCCACCCAAGCAAGGAAAGTCCATTAGACTCATATCCAATAAACCACTCAGAAAACCGGAAGTGACACTGTGTCTCAAAGAGTAGAGTGCTCGCCTTGAGCTGAAGAGCTGAGGGACAGCGCCCAGGCCCAGAGTTCAAACCTCACAACCAACAACAACAACAACAAAAATCTTGGGATAGGAGGGCAGGTAAGGTGGGGGGCTATGAAGGAGGCTTGGACTCTTGAGGGCTCCATCAGCTTTATGCCACCAAGGAGGAGGTGGGCACAGGGAGGAAGCAAATGGAGGCAGCTGCTCTGAAAGAAGAGCACCAGAAAGGTCCACAAGCAGGAAGTGAGTGTTGGAGGCATCCAACATCTTCCCCGGGTTCCATGTCCTCGGGCACTAATGACTGGAAGCCCTACTTTTCCTACCTGTAGAATGGACATGATAGTATGTACTTGGCTGGGATGCTGTCAGATTTCAATATCCAACACCCAGAGTGCTCCTAAGTGGTAGCAATATACAGTATGTCCTGCTGGACACCAACAGCTCACACCTGTAATCCTAGCTACTCAGGAGGCTAAGATCTGAGGATCACAGGTCAAAGCTGACCTAGGCAGAAAAGTCCATGAGACTCTTATCTCCAATTAACCACCAGAAAAGATGGAAATGGAGCTGTGGCTCAAGTAGTAGAGTGCTAGCTTTGAACACAAAAGCTCAGGGACATACCCAAGCCCAGAGCTCAAATCCCAGAACCAGCACACACAAACACACAAAGTATTTTCTGCTCACAGATGAGAATTGGAAGGTGTGTCCTGATCAGCCAAGGGAAAGTAGGCCCTGGGGGAAAGGAAGACCTTCTGGGAGGCAGAGAACTCTCAGGACTTGGTAGGGAGGGGACAGAGTGCCCCAAGATTAGCTGGAAGAACCCTCCATCTCTGAAGACAGACTCAAGGGCCAGGAGTGACAGAGAAGGGACGTAAGGGCCATGCCATACCCTCCGGGAGGCGCTGGCTGCTGGTCAGAGACGAGGAGCAGACACCTCCCTAGCTTCCTCACGCTGGATGCTGTTTCCTTTAAAGCCTTGCCAGGAAGATGCTCAGTGATTTCTTGTTGCCCTCAGCAGTTGCCGCTGGTCCCCAAGGTGGTAGAACAAGGAGAAAAGTCCTAAGGATTACAGGAACTTTCTGGGAATGGAGGACCTCCCCCCCCTCCATCTTGAATCCTCAGCTAGAGGCTCTTGCCCATTCCCAACTCTACTTTTTCTCATCCATCCCTGTAGGCTGACACAGTCCTCCCCTGAAACCTGAAAGATGGCATCGGGACAAGGCCCCGGCCCTCCTAGAGAGAGCTGTGAAGAACCTTCCTCGTCCTCAGCTTCTGGTAAGAGTCTTCCCGTCTCCCCCCTCCTGCCTCCCCCCCTGAAACCACAAGGGCCACCACGAGGATGGAGAAGACAGACTGGGCAGGGCCAGGCAGGACTTAGGGACAGGCTTCTGCCACGTTTCAGCCCTCAGCGGAAAGGTGTCTCAGCCCACGGCCCATGGGGCTCAGAGGCTGGAACTACACAGTCACAGCTAAGCCCATGTGGGAAGGAATGTGGGCTGCACAGGGCCTGGAAATGGGGACAGGCCAGGGAGCCAGCCTGAGAGCCAACCCAGAGCAGAGGGCCTGGAAACAGGGGCAGGCCAGGGAGCCAGCCTGAGGGCCAACCCAGAGCAGAGGGGCGGGGTGAAAGAAGAGGGCAGAGAATGCCCTCCCCGCCATATCCCTGTTGGAGAAATAAGGAAGTGAATCGGCTTATCACCCCTGCCAGGTCCAGGGATCAGGGAACTCGGAACTCAATTGTTCAGACTTGTGAGGGAAGTAAGATGGCTGCCCTCCTCCCTTCTTCCCAGTGGATGGCCTGGGAGGCCCCAGCTCACAGCCCACTCACTGCAGGATATTCTCTGCACCTGAGGTTCCCATTCCAGGCCAAACACAAAGGGCTGGGTACTTCATACAGCCCACATGCTGGGGTTCACACCTGGCTTGACTAGTTGTTCTAATTGTGGGAACTTGTGCACATCACTCAGCTGCCCGGCTGCTCTGCTGTCAGCAAACACTCTGCAGTGGGTACTAGGTATCCAGTAAAGGGCTCTGGATTTTTCTGCCCGTGGGCAAGGATGCAATGTAGGGGGAAGCTTGAGCCACTCACAGAGTACTGGTACTCCCTTCCATGGCTGACGACCAGCTTTGACCCTCAGAGCAGCAGGTAGCCCAGGACACCGAGGAGGTTTTCCGCAGCTACGTTTATTACAGCCACCAGCAAGAGCAGGAGGCCCAGGGGGCAGCTGCCCCTCTCGACCCTGAAATGGTCAACTTACCTCAAGACCCTAACAGGTGAGCTCTGGGGAGACAGGCTCGCAGTCGGAGTGTGTGTGTGTGTGGAGAGGGGGGAGGTCTCTATGTGGATCCTGGGAGCTAGGGAGGACTGGGGGAAGAAGGGTTCCGTCCTCCCATGTCCCCCCACGCTGAGAGCATGGACTGTGTTTGATGCCCATCTCTGAGCCCAGCCCACCTGCCTTTGAATGTGGCTGTTCACCCACCACCCCACTCCTACAGCGTTATGGGGCAGGTGGGCCGGCAGCTCGCCATCATCGGAGACGACATTAACCGGCGCTTTGACTCCGAATTCCAGAACATGCTACAGCAGCTGCAGCCCACAGCTGAGAACGCCCCCGAGCTCTTCGCCAAGATCGCCTCCAGGTACCCAGCCCAGTCACTTCGTCCTGCCATCTATGGCAGCCAGAAGCTTCTCTGTCAGTATTAGCAACAGGGTCCCCATGTGGTCTCAAGGAGCTGGTTTTTCCCCTTTCTCTCTCTCTGAGTCCCAGATTCCATTTGTGTAAAAGCTCATGGCACTTATGAGCTCTGGCACTAAGGACCTGATGGTTAGACTAGGACATGGAGGGGCTATAGGGTGGAGGTGTCCCCCAAGGCTCCCCAGGGTTTTGGGGTGTTTGGTTGCTTGAACCCAGGGCCTGGGCCCCTCTTCTTTAGCTTTTTTGCCCAGGGCTGGCTCTCTACCATTTGAGCCACAGCTCCAAGTCTGGCTTTTTAGTGGTTAATTGGAGAAAATCTCATGGACTTTTCTACTCAGACTGGCTTTGGGCCATGATCCTCACATCTCAGCCTCCTGAGTAGCTAGGATTACAGGAGTTAGCAATTGGCACCTGGCTCCCCAGGTGACATTACTAACCTCGATTGGGTCGCTTACCTGTGGCATCTGAAAGAGCACCTGATGTATAGAGTCTCTGATGACAGAGACTCTATACACCTGATTCAGATCCCAGCTTCGCCACCAACTCCACTGGAACCTCCTGGCCCTCGTTCTCCTCTCTGTGAAACAGGAAGAGACACAAGTGTCCACTCTGAAAAGTTAGCTATTTGTGGAGATGGGGATGGAGGGAGGGGTAGGTGACAGGTTTGGAATCAGTGCTGAGATCCAAAGGGCCCCAGCCCGTGTCCTTAGCTAGCCCTCCACACCCCATGCCCTTTCGATTCTGGGATCTGGCCTAATTTCCTCTTCTGTCCTTTTCTCTCTGCTGCCCTTTGGGCTGCCAGACCAGCAGCAACACCCACAGGTAATCCCCCTGCTGCTTCTGTGCACTTTCTCTACCCTCTGCCTCTGTGTCTCTGTGTGCCTGCAGCCTTGGATCCCCGCACCAGCAGTGTCTCCTGCTTCTGCCTCTTAGCTTTCTGCTTTCACAGAAACCCATGCTCTCCCAAGTTGAGGCCAGGCCTAGGCCAGTCTCTTCTGCCTGGAATCCCAGCTTAACCACTTAGCTTCCCAGGGTGAAGGAGGACGAGGGTTGAAAGGCTCCTTTGGTCTCGCCACTGGCTGATGGGACACTCTGCCCGCAGGCTGTTTGACAGCGGCATCAGCTGGGGCCGCGTGGTGGCTCTCTTGGGCTTTGGCTATCGCCTGGCCATGCATATCTACCAACATGGCCTGACTGGGTTCTTCAGTCGAGTGACTCGCTTTGTGATCGACGTCATGATGCGTCACTACATTACTCGGTGGATTGCACAGAGGGGTGGCTGGGTAAGTTCCCAAAGATGGCAGCATCCGCCCTGCTTCTGGGGCTATCCCAATCCCCAAGGCACGAGCCCCTCTCTGACCCACCCCCTCTCTCTTGGCAGGTGGCAGTTCTGAACTTCAGCTATAGACCTATCTTGAATGTGTTAGCGGCCCTGGCTGTGGTTCTGTTGGGCCAGTTTGTGGTACGAAGATACTTCAAATCATGACTCCTAGGCTGGCTCTTTGGGGTTCCAGCTGAGTGAGACCTCTGGACTTCAGCCCAAACGTCTTCCTTCCCCTTCTTTCCTGTAGACCTGTCCCTCCTAGCCCCAAGACTACAGAAGCTTTAGCAAACAGGCACTCCAGTTTGGAGAGCCCTGGCCCAGGGGTCATTCAGGCTGCATAGCCACTCCAGCATTACATGGTGCTAACAGGCGCCCTCTCTAGGCCCCATCCTGTCAGAGAGTGGCTATAGCCTCTTCCTTTAGCTCTCTGGTGTTGAATGCTGGGGAGGCTGATATCGTAGCGAGGCAAGAGGCTGGGGACCATGTCTTCCCAGGAAGTTTTTTTTTTTTTAATGGTTTTTGCTTTTTATATTATCCTCGAGAGATGCTCCCACCCTTTCCCACCATTGCCCAAAGTCGGGGCATCAGTGCTATGAGACTCAGTGAATCCCCCCACCTTCCTTGTCCCCCAGGATTGGTCTATTCCAGAACGTTGGAGCCTGAGAGATGAGACTTGAGCCTTCTTGGCCCTGCCTAATCATGGCTTTCCATAAGCAGGACTGGCTGGAGATGGGAGCCAAGATCCTGTTCATCTCCCCTATTCCTATTCTATCACCCTAAGTTGCCTTGGTAGTTGAACTCTCAGGGATTCTGGGCCCAGGATAGGGAGGGGTAGAGGTGGGAGGTAGTGCAGACCAGAGCTGTCTGAATGTATTCATCAGGATTCTCTGAGCCTGCCTCCAGTTCTTACCCTTCATCTCCCCTAATTCCCACGGCTCCCAGCCCAGTCACTACAGATGAAGACCCTTGCCTGCCCCCCTAGGGATCTTGGATGAGCAGGTGGTTTTAGGCCTCCATCCTTCCTACATTTCAGGGCTTTCGATCTGGCTTATTACTGAGGAAAGAAGTAGGACTCATCTGGAGGTGTTTGAGAGGGAGAGGGGTAAATCACCAGGAGGGATCCCCAAGTTGGAACTCTCTCTCATGGCCTGGGCATGGAGTAATCCCGGGGAACTGTGAATACTTGAACTCTACCCAGCCCCACCCAACATGTTCCAGGCAGCCTAGGCCCTCCTGGGGCTGAGGTGGGGCACTTTTCTCTATCTTGCACAGCCTTGGGGCTTGGGAATAAAGAGAGGGAAGTTCTTGATTAAGCCAAATGCAGGAAGGGGATACAGATGGAACCTTCGGGCCACCCTATACCCCCATCCTCCAGCTGTGTTTGAAAATAAACTGTGCAATCCCCCACCTTTGCCTGGTATTCGCGTATCTTCTACCTCGCTAGCCATTTGCTGAATGTCTTATATGAACCCAATCCACCAAATAACTCTGGGTTTTGTGCCTTTTGAAAGCAGCAGACTTGGCTGGACTGTGGGAAGCTGGGCCTGCTGGAATGTAGCTGGCTTAGTAACTGCATCAAATCCTTCATTGGTCTCCAGAATTCTGGGTGTGGTTCCCTGGTGGGCTGGAAGACCAAAAGAATTCCCAGCCAGCCCTGTGTGACATCTCCACCAACTATTTAGCTCCTTCTCCTTGCACTGTCTCCCTTGGGAAGCCAAGGAACCCTTGACTACACCGCTGGTGGAGCAGCTGCACAAGTCTGAGGACCCCCAAGGACCAACTTGGACCTGACTTCATCTCCTTCCCTGGGGTCACCACCCCCATTGATCCAAAAGGTTCTTATTCCTAATGTATAGCTCTGCCTGGGATACAGTGTCCCAGCTTTCCCTTCCTGATGTCCCTACACACACACACACACACACACACACACACACACACACACACAGAGGGCTTTTGTGATTTTAGGAGTTTGATGCTGCATAGGAGTCCCTACTGGGAGGCAGCCCTGGTTGATAAAAATAACAAGTATGGGGGCGTTGAAATGTTCCCAAATCTACAAAGTCTTTTCAGTCCTGGGCACTCTGGTCTGTTTCTGACACCCTTCTAAAATGTCACACATCCGTCTAAGAGGACTCTTGGATTTCAATCTCACTGCTCTGGGGCTGGCTGCCAAGCTCCTTACCCCTGCGTGTTGTTATCAAAGAGGCCACAGAGGAGAATTGGTGGCCAGTGGGCACAAACTGAAGTGGCTGGAAAGTGACTATTACCAGGCGTGCACCCCCACAATGTACAGAAAACGCTCCTCAGATGGTATGGTTACTCTGTGCAGGCTTCATACTGAGACTTTATTGTTGATACCTAAACAATAGGTTTGGAGCCCAGACGCGTGCATGTGTGGGCGCATGCGTTCACAAACTCCCACTTTTCAGGTTTTAAAAAACAGGTGCCTTCCAGAGACAGGAAGAAGTAACTTGTCACCAGAATACTGGTTCTAAGTTTATTAGGACGCAGGGAGGGAACAGCCAAGGAAAGGTCTCAGGTCTGGTGAGTACAGGCCCAACGCAGATTTAGGGACCCAGACAGCTAAGATGCCTCTCTTGCTCTGCTAGCCTAGCCTTCGTTGTCACCACCACCCCTACCTCCCTCCTCACTGAAAGCTGTACTGAGCCAGTTGCCCGAGTCAAAGATGGCCGCCACCGCTTCGGGGACGCATGCGTGCCCTTTCGTGGGCGTGGCCTTAGGGCCGCCCCCGTTCCTTCCCGCGGCGGGCGGGGACAAGCGGCTGAGGAGGGTAATAGCTTGAGGCACTGAGGGAAAGTTACCAATAATTCGTGGCTGGAAGAATCAACGCAACCTCGGGGAAGAAGTCGGAATACTATCCTGATGGGCATGGGGAGGAAGCCCCAATAGGTTGTGGCTCTTGCCCACCTCTGGTCCCCTCGCGACCTCTGCGAAGATGAAGTTCCCCAAACCTAGATCAGAGACGAGGCCGGTGTTACCCAAACCAGGGGGTGAGAATTTAGGGGCAACAGAATGAGGCAGGGGAGCTCTGCGGAACCGAAGGTAGTCAGATCAGGGGCGCCTGCCGGGCACTGGCTCAGGCCTGTAATCCTAGCTACTCAGGAGGCAGAGAGGTGAGGATCGCGGGTCAAAGCCAGCCCGGGCAGGAAAAGCCATGAAACTCTTACCTCCGAAGGGGAGCCTTGGTTCAAAGTGGCAATGCGCTAGTCTTGAGCAAAAGCTTCAAGGACAGCGCCTAAATTCAAGCCCAACAACAACAACAAAAAATTATGACCTAACTATCTGAATTGTGTTAAAATGAATGTATTAATTAAAATAGGGAAAGCATCATCTTGTGTCACAGCTGTATATACTTCAGCTTTAACCAGACTGTGCACAAATATTTATAATCCCAGGTATGCATACATTCATACAAGCATGCATATGTGTGTGTTTGGAATTACCAGTGAGTACTAGAAGTATTCAAAGTCAAGGGCCAGAAAAACAGCAAAACTCATCTTCAGCGAGCATAATGGTGCACACCTGTAATTCTAGCACTCAGAAGGCTGAGATAGGAGGCCAGCCTAGTATACATATCAAGACTGCCTCAAAACAAGATTGAACACCTTCTCTCAGGTATGTTCACTAACTGTTGGACAATTTTTGTGTGTGTGTGTGCCAGCAATAGGGCTTAAACCCAGAGCCTAAGCCTTGTCCCTGAGCTTTTTTTCTCAAACTTTTTTTTTGCCACTTGCGCCACAGCTCCACTTCTGGCTTTTTGCTGGTTAAAGGTAGATAAGAATCTCATGGACTTGGGCTGGGAAGGTAGCTCAGTGGTAGAGTGCTTGCCTTGCATGCCAGAGGCCCTGGGTTCGATTCCTCAGCACCACATAAGCAAAAAGAAAAAAGCCGGAAGTGGCACTGTGGCTCAAGTGGAAGAGCGCTAGCCTTGAGCTGAAGAGCTGAGGGACAGCGCCCAAGCCCAGAGTTCAGGCCCTACGACCAGACCAAAAAAAAAAGAATCTCATGGACTGTCTTGCCCAGGCTGGCTTTGAACTTGGGTCCTCACCTCTAACCTAGCTCCTAGAGGGCTAGGATTACAGGAGTGAGCTATCAGTGCCAAATGATTACTGGCCATGTTAAAAATTACTATAAGCAGGAAAGTGTGAGGCTTGAATCTCCAATGAACTACTCAGAAAAAGTCAGTCAGAGTGGTGCTGTGGTTCAAGTGGTAGAGTGCTAGCCTTCAAAAAAGAAGCTCAGGGACAGGGCCCAGGCCTAAAGTTCAAGCCCCAGGGCCAGAAAAAAAAATCACCATAAATTATAAAAGTAAAGTGGGGGAGGATGGTGGAAGCATTTAGCCCACCAGCTAACAGAATAGAAAGTAATGAAGTTGCCAAGAGCCAATGGCTCATGCCTGTAATCCTAGCTACTCAAGCAGAGATCTGAGGATTGTGGTTCAAAGCCAGCTGAGGCAGAAAAATCCCAACGCAACTCTTTTTTTTTTTTTTTTGGTCGTGAGGCTTGAACTCTGGGCCTGGACGCTGTCCCTCAGCTCTTCAGCTCAAGGCTAGCACTCTACCACAATGCCACTTCCAGTTTTCTGGTGGTTTACTGGAGATAAGAGTTTCATGGACTTACCTGCCCGAGCTATCTTTGAACCGCTATCTTCAGATCTCAGCCTCCAGAGTAGCTAGGATTACAGGCGTGAGCCACCAGCGCCCGGCCCCTTGCAACTCTTATCTCCAATTAACCACTCAAAAAAACTCAAAGTGGAATTGTAGTTTAAAAGTAGCAGAGCACTAGCCTTGAGCAAAAGAGCTCAGGGACAGTGCCCAAGCCCTTAGTACAAGCCCCACAACCAACAACAACAGAAGAAAGTAATGAAGTAACTCTAGCACTGAGTACACTCTCAGCCCAGGGCTGTGTTCTCCAAGTTCCAGATTTTGGTAATGACCTCTGTGGGCCCACAGCTCAAATGATCTCTGACTCAATGCCATCATCCTCCAATGGGCTTGTGCCCATTTAACATCCATGAAATCCAGCAGGACAGGGTAGCATGTTCCTATGTTGCCAGCCCTAGGGAGGTTGAGGCAAGAGAATCCAGAGATGAAGGCTACCTGGCCTCCATAGACTCACCAAAACAAACAAGACCTATGAGTCTGTTACTGTCATCCCATTCATGTTCTTTGCTGGTCCCTGGGGAAAGCCTACTGTCATCCCATTCATGTTCTTTGCTGGTCCCTGGGGAAAGCCTGTGACACGGGAAAGCTGACAACCCAGGAGCGAGGGAAGGCTAGGGGCCCTGTGTGGGGGTCCTAGGAGGGATGCACCAAACCTGATCTTGAGTGAAATAGGGAAGCTTCTCAGAGGAGGGGACGTGTGAGACATTTTCTTTGAACAAATTCATCCTATTCAGACAGGCACTCTCTCAACAGCACACAGACTTTTCTTACTCCCCATAGCCAGCTGTCGCAGCTACAACTCTAGAGTCTCCATAGTAACTTCCCTTCTCCTTCCTCCTCAGCGCATTTCACACTGAAGGCCTCTGCTCCAACGTCTCCTTTTGCATGGTTTTTGGTTGTTGTTTTGATGGTAATGTTCCTGTTTGTTTGTTTTTTTATTTTGTTTTGTTTTGCCAGTCCTGGGGCTAGAACTTAGGGCCTAGGCACTGTCTCTGAGCTTCTTTCACTCAAGGATAACACTGCCACTTCAGCCACTGCGCCACTTCTGGCTTTTTGATGGCTAACTGGAGATAAGAATCTCCTGAGTAGCGGGGCGCTGGTGGCTCGCGCCTATAATCCTAGCTAGTCAGGAGGCTTAGAGATGAGGATCACAGTTCAAAGTCAGCCCAGGCAGGAAAGTCCCGGAGACTCTTATCTCCAATAAACCACTAGAAAACCGGAAGTGGCACTGTGGCTCAAGCGGTAGAGTGCTCGCCTTGAGCTGAAGAGTGCAGGGACAGCGCTCAAGCCCTGAGTTGAAACCCCACGATCAACCAAAAAAAACAAAAAACAAAAAAGAAATCTCTGGTCTTTGCTGACTGAGCTGGCTTCGAACTGTGATCCTCAGATCTCAGCCCCCTGAGTAGCTAGGATTAAGGTATAAGCCACCAATGCCCAGTAATCCTCTAATTCTTACCAAAAAGCAACTTGATGTTAACCACTCCATTTTCTGCTTTTCTCAGCCCTTCTCTATCAGCAAAATCACCTCTTCTGCCCTGTTCATCAAAATTAATGTATGTGTGCATATATATATATATATATGTGTGTGTGTGTGTGTGTGTGCATATATATATATATATATATATATATATATATATTATTGGAATTTGAACTCAGAGCCCAAGCTTCCTTGTTTTGCTGACTGCCACTCAACACGACTTGATATATGGCTCTATCCCAGCC